ATATGGTGGATGCTTAAAGTTGGTATTGAATATGCTTTTTGGAGAAACGTGAAGATTTTTCAGTTTGGATTTAGTCACTAATCGAGTTATCCATTTCGTTCTTCTTAAAAAATCAGTTAATTGAAATTGCTGATCATGTCATTTTGTTTTGATGAATTTAAGTGAACCCGTATTATAAAATCAGTCTTTTCATTTATTTATTTTTTTCAAAGTTCTTCACTATCTTGCGAAGATTTGTGTAACAATAAATGAGGATTCTTGTCAGAAAATGTTCAAGAAGCATTTCTCTTTGTCATTGCACCCTTTTATTCTCTACTCTTGACCAACAAAGAAATAATTTCCCTTTGCTGAATTTCAGGTTAATCCTGGATTATGAGGGTAATTCGAATGTGCTGAAAATTGGTGAAAAAGGAGGTTTGTTCTTGTTTTGATTTCTTTTTCAAAAAACTCTTCTGTTTTCTTTTTGCTTTTCTTGGTTGTATTATTATTGTGATAATTTCCTTGAGAGAATTTTCTCGATAAATAACCTTCAATGAGTGATTAAATGTTTTTCGTACATAATGATCCGTCATCAGAGTAGCAAATGTGAAAGATAAAGTCCCGAAGAAGGCAAATTTGAAGTGAACAATTTCTTCCACATGGAAATCATACAGACTCAAGAAAATGTCTTCAAAAAATTTCTTTGTTATTGATTGTTGGGAGAAAGCTAAAGAAAGTCAAATAGTGGATTGCGTTATTTATGGATGCATGAAATAGATATTTATGGGTATATAGTGCATGAACTCGATTGTTTTGTCTGAACACCATACGAACGGTCGTGTTACGTACACGTTTTGCGAATAAAGCATTTCAATGAATTGACCAAAACATTAATGCTGACGTGTGTTTGCGTAATTATCGAGCTAAACTTACGATGTTGTCGATTTAAGATGACGGTATTGAAGAGTTGTCGATGAGTTTCAATTCTGGTAAATTGCAATACGGNATCGCCTCCATCAAAAGTGCGGCATCATCGCAACCAAAAATGATCCTTATTCAATGGGTATCCTACTCATCTATTATGAATCTACTCAGCGTACTTATTTTAGGCAGTCACCAAATATTTTATAGCTTTTCCTTATTGCATAATAAAATCGTTCGGAATTTTTCTTGTAATGAATATAATTAGAGTTGTCATATAATTGCAATTGTTATTGTTGTGTTGTAGCAAGGTGAAGGTGTGCCAACGTCGCGACTTGCCGTAACAACGAGTCATGCGAATGACTTGAAGAGATTCTTGAGGGGCATTCATGTGGTTCGTTTACTTTTTGATTACGAAACGATATTGTTTTGGACACTTTCTGTGCTTCTTCTTTTTCACTTCTAAAATTCCCACTAGTTCCGATTGATTTTTTCTACACAGAACTCTTAGTAAAAAGAAAATACAGCATTCATTGCAGCCGATTGAAGAATGATCAGTTTTCCACGTCGGTATTCTGTCTTTATCAGTGAATTACTTTGTTCTTGGATTATTTGACGTTTTAAGCGAAATTTTTTAAACCGAAACATCCGAATTGATGCAGACTGATTATCAGAAAGTTTTTATCATCACTGGTGAATGGCCAGTTTCATTTAATTTGTAATGCTTCACATCAGCTTTTTCAGGTAATAATAGCACGCAGTGAAGATGACGTTGATAAAGAAAGTATTTTAAAAGTAGTCGCTAAACTGCCGACTATGAATGATTTNGAACGATATTGCTTCGGACACTTTCTGTGCTTCTTCTTTTTCACTTCTCAAATTCCCACTAGTTCCGATTGATTTTTTCTACACAGAACTCTTAGTA